TATGGAGTTCCACAGGGTTCAGTGCTAGGACCAATTCTGTTTACATTATACACGCTTCCCCTAGGCAGCATCATTAGAAGACATAGCATACATTTACACTGCTATGCAGATGACACCCAGCTCTATCTGTCCATGAAGCCAGATGATGCACATGAATTAGTTAAACTGCAGGAATGTCTTAGAGATGTAGAGACCTGCATTTTAGCTTCTAAATTCACATGTGATTGAGGTTACTTGGCCCCAAAAATCAGCGAAACATGTCCAACTAAATACGGACACCAGACGGCTTTTCTTTGGTCTCTAGTCTGTTGAAATTTCCAACTGTGAACTCTTAAAACCAGGCTTCTGTTCTTCTTATCGTTTTCATCTTTCATTACATTCTCATTCATCATATTAATCAGACTTATAGTTTTAGCTCTTTATTGTTATTGTACAGTAACACTGGTGAAAGTCGAAACTAGTTCATGCATTTATTACTTCCAGGCTGGACGACTGTAATTCATTATTATCAGGAAGTCCTAAAAACTTCCTGAAAAGCTAATCCAAAATGCTGCAGCAAGAGTCCTGACAGGGACTAGAAAGAGAGAGCAGGTTTCTCCTGTATTGGCTTCCTGTTAGATCCAGAATCAGTTCCTGGCTCTTTAAAAGTAGAACGGCATAAATAAATGTTTATGTATTTGTGTTTCTTTATAATTTTTTTTTAAGCTCAGCACTTCACAGATACAGTGATTTCTAGCAATTCATAGATTACAGCTAAGGAAGTGGCTGCAGGACAACACAGAGTGACTTCAACCTAAAAAATAAAAACTCTGAATCAGCTCTGTTTATATTCAGTTAGTCCAACAGTTAGCCTGTGGTTTTGTGCCGGCGGCGATCACAGATGACCTAACACGGTCACGCTCACGGTCACTCCTCTGTTTGTTTCAGGCACTGGATGGTGACATAGTGATGCTCTCAGCACACTGGGAGAGAAAAAGGACGTCGCTAACACAACTGCATGAACAACTGCAAAGCTTGCCGGCCTTTATCAGCGATCTTGATGCCATCACTGCTAACATAGGTTCGTGTTCGTTTCTGTGGTCAGATGACGATATGATGTCAGCCACCTCAGCGTTTAGAGCTTCTACTTTAAGGATTGAACACAAAACCTCAAGTTTCCATGTTGAGTAATGCTTTACACTGAGGTCTGACAGCTATGCTACAAAGCTTAGTTAAGTGTTGATACAACATAATAAGATAAA